TGTCGGCTCTGGGCCTCTGAGCCCAGCAGATTAAAAAGTATGCAATTTCTTACTTTAGCTTCAAGTTCCAGTATCTATAAGCCTTCAAACTTTTAAAATATTCCAAGCTATGTGGTTCTGAGTTTTGCAGCTCTGTCCTAGATCTGCTTTGCCTGGTGTTCTGTGGTCTTGCTGACAGGTGAACTTCACTGCACCTCCACCCTAGCCGCCACCTTGTCCTCTACCTGTCACCAGATGATTTTAAATGTAAACTTTCCTTCCTGGGGAAATATGTTTCTATGTAAAGGAAAAGTTAAAAAAAAAAAAATGTGATCACATCATATGAATCTTTTGAAAGACATCATTGGAAGGTACCTTGGAAAGAAATGATGGTCATGTGTCATGCTGATTTAAATAGACTATAGTTCATATAGTTAAATCAGCAGTAGTAAAACCTACATTATTTAATTTTGTCTCTTTGTTTTAAAATATTTCAGTTACTTTGTTATTTTCTTATAAATACGTTTCTTCCTTAAAATTCATAATAAGTTTGATTGTAAGTTAAAATGGAACTGCTCCAACAATTTAAGGTGAATGGTAAAGTTTTTTTAAATCATAATTTAATACAATACATGTTTTATAATTTTAAAACAGAAGCAGTAACCTGTTGTCATGGAGATGACTTCAAGTCATGGCAATCTTATGTGTGTCTGAGTTGAGTTGTGTTCCATATGGTTTTCAGTGACTGATTTTTGGAAATAGATTGCCAGGCATTTCTTCTGAGGCATATCTTGTTGTACTCAAGCTTCCGTTTTGGTTAGCGGTCCATAGCATTCTATGTCTGCATCCTAGTGTGTTCACCCTTTGCACCACCCAGGGACTCTGATTTTGAAATGTCAGAAACATTTTGAAAGCATACTTCTTATTTGAATAGTAAGTTGACAGAATCTAAATATAAGTTACTGATGAAATTTAGTTTGAACTTACCTAAGGTAACAAAATCTCCTTATGATATCTATGACACTTTTATTAAAATAACCACTCTAAAGTGGAGTCCTGGTGTGATACTGTATGGTAATCACTGGACTGCTAACTTCAAGTTCAGTGGTTCAAATCCACCAGTTTATCCCTATACAGGATCATCATGAGTTCCAAGCGATTCCATGGCACTTAACAGCAACAACCTAATTAAATTACTCCACATCTTGTAGGTACCAAATGTGGTTGAAGAGGTAAGTTTGTTAAGACAAAATCACTGACAAGTGAAATAGTTCATATTACTTTGTAAATACAGTAATTGGTAGTCCTTTAATTTTATAGCTAGTGGAGAGGGTATGTGATACCTTGTTTGGCAATGGTTTCAGTGATTCTGAGGTATGAACCACAAAACTTTAGAGCCTTGACAATTAGTAGTCTACTTGAATAAAAGTTAAATATTGCCTCCAAAACAAGATCTTTGGAATATACCTACTCGTTGTGGTTACGAATGAATCTCGGCTGCTAATCTCAGAGTCAGCAGTTCGAAACTACCAGCTGTTCCTTGGGAGAAAGATGAGGCGTTCTGCTCCCGTAAAGATTTACAGGCTCGGAAACCCTGTACAGGGTCGCTATGACTCGGAACCGATTCCACGGCACTTAACCATCACCACCAAGGAACTTGTAAAATTTTCTGGGCCCGGATCTTATTTTTTTAAATTTAGATTATTTGTTTTTATAAATTCATTATTACAGCGTATTCATTTTTACATAATTTTCTAATCACTAGATTTGAGACTATACTATGATCAATGTTTTGCTCATCCCCAACTCTGATTAAAACGAGCCCAAGAAAAGATGGTATTTGAGCTAATATACATTCGACTTAGACCAACGCAGGATTCCATGGTACCTGTAAGGACACAGCTTATCTTTCAGGTCTTCGTTAAATTTCTGGAAATATCGCAACATTCCTTTAGAAAGTATAATGCTTAAATAAGGATGCAGTGCAAATTTTCTCCTTAAATCCGTTAGAGGTTAGAATTTGTAAAAATAAAAAATTCTATGAAAGTAGATGCTGTTTTTTGTTGGTGGAGACATTGGAATGCTGTTAACGCCCAGTAAAGATTTCTAACCCGATTCTACCTCTGGAGGGAGACATAGTCCGGCTTTTATACCGATTCCCTCTGTTCCATTTTATACAATCCGTCTTTTCTGCAGGACTGCCGTTGGCTCTTAGCAGCAGCTAACACCGCTAACAAAACTGGCTATTGGGAGAGAGGAGGAGGTAGGCTTGCCTCCTGGTCCTGCCAATCCCCTTTTACCGCTTAACTCAACCTGGAGTGTGGGGACATATTCTCTGCCCGCGCTTCGCCGGGCACTGTACTCTCCCTGTCTACACTCCCTAGACAATCAGGCTGGGTGGAATAGGGAGTTCTGCCCTTTAAGGTGACTTCCTAAAAGATACCGTCGGTGTTTTCTTTCTTTCTTTTTTTGACAGTACAACGTCTGGGGTGGGACGTGAAGAGGAGGCTTTTGCTGCTAAAGGGCTTACTTTTTTATTTTCTTCCAGTGATTTGGATTTGTTTCCTCGGCCCTCTCCTCTTCCCACTCCTCCCTACTTAGTGAAGTGACACAGGTTACAACTGCTCGCCTGTGTTCCATGTTGGAACGTGAACCTTCTCATCAGTGGTGAAGGTGCCAGCTCTCTGAGGACAAGGGGACAGCGGCGAGTTTTCCTTCCAGCTCAGGATGCCTTAAGGGACAGCAGGTGGGCTGCGTGGGGCTGTGCCGAGACTTGGAGGTGATATTGAGGGGTTACAGCTCGCCGGGAGGAGCTGCTAAATGGACTCAGGTTGACCTAGCAAAGTCTCCAAGAGGGCATCAGCAGAGACCTATCTGCGAACGGCGAGAGCAGCGGCACCGGGACCGACCGAGGAACACCGACTTCTTGCAGAGGGAGAGCGACCGAGGCTAGCGCCGTTCGTCGTCGCTGTCCCCAGCCTTCTCAGCAACTCCTCACATTGGAGACCCTAGGACCTTCGAGAGCCAGGGAACTCGAGAAGTACGTGGCGGACGTTGCTTTTCTGAAGGTGAATCATTCTGTGCAATTGCCTTTCCTGGGAGAGCAGAAAGGAGGGCGGGAGAATGTGTGAATGTGTGTGTGTGTGAGAGGACAGACAACGTGAGGCGAGAGGAAAAGTCTTTACTCGGCGTTAAAAGCAAACACTTCGGAGATGGAATAAGAGCGGTAATTGCTGCAAGACCGCTTTAATTCTGGCAGTCGGTGGAGCAGAGGCACACCGCGCGCATCCCGCGAGGACAGCCGGCGACCGTAGGCGCGGCCAAGGGCTGCGGGACTTTGGCTTTTCGTCAGTAAACAAATCTTTTGATTACTTTGACACTGAAATAAAGAGAGGGAAAAAGAGACGAGGCTAACGCACTCTATCCTCCACCTGCTTTGAGAGGATTCCAGTTTGGATGTCAAGAGATTCCTGAGCTCTTTTTGCCATAGGAGAAGGAAACACACACAAACGCGCGCGCGCACACACACACAAGCACGCACACTCAGGGCCACACTCACACGCCCTCCACGAGCTCACACCACCAGACTTGAGTTCCCTATGCCCCTGGATGGTGACGGCGGATTGGCATCTTGGAAGCGATGCAAGAGCGATAAGGCTGGCGCGAGTCCGCGGAAGCTGCAAGAGCATCGCTAGGTGTTGCCGCCACCGTGTAGCGGGGCTGCAGGTAGGTGTGAGCGCGCCTTGGCCGCCGGCGGGCGCTATGGGCCCGGGCAGCTACTGGAGGACCCGGGACCCGGAAGCCTCGGTGGACACACGCCTCCTCTCTCCTTCCCCTGGGGTCTGGGATTGTAGGGAAATTGCGGGGGTCAAGGGGAGAGGTGAGGGCAGATGCTGGCTGAACGACTAGCGTCTTGCTCGCAGGCGGTCAGAGTAGGGGCGGTGGTAAAGGGACGCAGAGGAGGATACTGAGAAGCGAAGTGGGTTCGGTGAGCCATCCTCTCCCCTCAGCTCCATTTCTCCTAGTTCAGAGAGCGACCCCTCAACCAAACCAATCCCGGCTGGTAACCATTTTGGACTTCGAATAGGAGTTAGGGTCGCATTCAAAGGATGGTCAGTGAGATGTGACAAGGTGCTTTTCGGAAACCCCTACTTCTGTCCACTTCTGATTAGTTAATTTTCAGGCCTGCCTGCAAAGAGAGGGCGTTCCAGAGAGGCGATTGAATCGTCCACCTCTTAACTATTTTCGTAAAGAATTATGTTGATAAGTTCCTGAGCTCCAGTTATTTAAAGGTTTATTTAGATTTGAGTAACGGGCACATAGTGCTGAACGCTTTAGTAAAAGATCATTTTACGAACAGGGTTCGGAAAAAGAACACCTAAGGGAAACAATTGTTTTTTCATTTCTTTCCATAGATGTCTTCCCAATCTTGGCTAATAGTACTCGGTTGGTATGCTCATCTGCTTTGTCCCTGACCCCTTCTATTCAAAAAGGCAGCTTTCTACTAAGAAGTATTTTTAGTGAGAATGTGGTATTTCCAGAAACTGCGTTGCAAAGGAAAGTTTGAGATCCTCGTCCTATTTCAAATATCCTAGAACTGCTAGGTGAACTATCTAATCTTTACTTGCAAGGACGAATTGTAGGCGCTCGCCAAGCCCCCCGGGTTGACGCAACCCTTTGCCTATTCAGTATTCCACTTCCTGACTGAGTGTTAAACAATTGCCTGGAGCGCTTGGAATCAAATGTGTGTTTACTACAGTGGCTAGCCTTTCTTCACCTTCAGCTGGAAGAGTTTGGCTTGTGGCAATAAAACGGAAAAGAAAATCCTCATTTTGTTGCATGTGAAATATACTTTAGAATTTTGTAAAATTGTTCTTGGAACTCACCCCCCCAACAACCCCCCCCCAACAATTTCTTGCCCCCAAACCTCAACCTAGAGGCAATCTTTACTCTGAATAGTTCACTCAGTGTATATGGGTCCTTCCCTCCGGACAGGATGAATTTAAATCATTATTGACTGAATGATAATTATCCGGTTCCTGTCTTCCCAATTAGATTGTTTTAGACATCAACATTCAGATAGTTATCAATTAACACTTCAAAATGGCTCTAGCAGGCAATGTAAGTTAAGATAAATGAGTAATTTAAGATTTCGAAGTAAATTGCTAAATTGCAATAACTAGCAAAGAAGATTTAAAACCACTTCTGAACCTTTTACAAACTAGAACATTAAGATTATTTGTATTTATTCCTGTGTTTCCATGATTGCACGTTCCTCTCAGGCTCGCTGGGGAATTTTTTACATTTTTCAGATTGGCACCTAAGCTAGTGTTCTATATTTCAAAAAAATATCAGGCATGTTTAGTTTTCTTACATTACTCTGCTCTGGATCTCAATCTTGAGTCAATTGTTTGGATCTTGACCTTTTTAGAATTCTAATTTTAAAGCTAAAAGCCATCAATAATCACACTGGAATTAATTTTGTTTCATTCTCCTAATTTTCAGTGAAAAGAACTTAGTATTATTGATAGGTATAATATTCCGAGAGCAGTGTCACTTTCTACCAAACACTTAGGCATGGGGACTCTTAAGAGGCAATATACAGTTTTAGGTGTTGCCTTATTTAAATAAGGCATTTTCAGATTAAAATATTGTTTCTGTAAAGCCCAGTTTTTGAGAATAAAATATTGTTTCCTAGTCTTGCCTTTAAAAAATTTAATAGTTTGAGATGCCTGATATTATATATATATCTCTGATGTCATGATTTATGTCTCTTAAGGAATAACCAAAAACCCTTGACATTAAAACAAACACCTGTAATACTCCTACAAGTTGTGCTGGAGGAGAATTTAAGGTTTCTAAGTCTGTGTGATTTTTGCATCTGTACAATATCTGCTATTTTAACAGTGACAAACTGCAAAATATGTATTTACTGAGATGTCCATTGATCTATGTCAGAATAGATGCATATTGCTTAGAGACTGCATTTATAGTATTTACTAGCCATCAAGTTTTAAAATGTAATGGCCTGGCTGTAAAAAGATTTCTTTTTAGACATGCCCACTTTTCATTTTTTAAAAATTTACAAAGTGTTGAAAGTTAGAGAGATGATAGAAAATTTTATAAAATTACATATCATAAAATTTTAGTGAGCCTAGATCCAGTATCTTTAATATATTAATTTAATGACAATCCTTTTAAAATGTGGTTTTGAATGTTCCAAGTGTATTTTAGGGCTTATTTAACACTATTTTGCTGGTTCTGGATTACTTTATACAGGTAGAGTAAGATATGTCTCTCCAGCATTGCTTTTCACCCTCCCTAGGAAAAGATATTGTCAGATTCTGCCCAAGTTCAGCTGTGACTTCAAGCTAATGAACATTTGCCTCTATAATGCATGTCCAAACTAGAAATATTCCAAAATGTCACCAGTTATTTCTAATAAATTTGAAAAGATGAAATAACCAGAGTGTAAGCAGTTCGGTGCCCTTGCTTTTACTTCTGCAGTATTTTATTAGGGATGCCTCATTAAGTCGCATTATTCTGCAGCTGTTTTGTTCATTGAAGATTCAAGTGAGAATAAAGAACTTTACTGTGCAATGCAGTTTTGTTTTCTTGGTTAAAACCCAAAAATTGAAATAAAATAAACATCCTACATAGTCCCCTTTGATCTATGGCTGACATTTACGAATGCAATTCATCAACTTGTTATTAGTAGGATTTCATCAAAACAAAGACAAGAAACACATTACCATAGATTGCTGCTAGATATGAATGCCAAACCAGTTGAATCAACTTCATATCTATCCTATAGGCTTGTATATTTCACATGATATAGCTTGCTTATGAATCATTGATTTTGTTATGCCATGTATTAATATGATGAATTTACCATTTGGTTAGAAAATTCTTTGATTAAGTTTATTTTAAACTAGTTGGAATAGATTAAGCACTAGTTTTAATTATTCCATTGCAAAAGAAGCATCAATGTCACAGAGCCACTGTGAGTTTTTCTGAGAGAAGAGTTTCACTCTAGGTTTGGAGCACAGAGGCCTAAAAATTAATTTCTGTTTCTTAGTTGTCATTAACTAAGAATTACTATTGGATACAATTGTTGGATAATTTTCAGAAGGTGATTCACTCATTCAGGCAGTGATTTGGTGTCCTTTTCAATGAGATAAAACAAACAATTCTTGTCTTCCAGTTATCCTTACAGAAATTTAAAGAGGAATTTTTAAACTTAATGGAATTTGAAGAAAAGGATTTAAATATATTTGTACACACACACAAACACACACACATATATGTTGTTGTTAAGTGACATCGAGTCGGTTCTGACCCACAGCGACCCTGTATCGGGTTTCCAAGGAGCGGCTGGTGAGCTTGAACTGCCGACCTTGCAGTTGATAATGGCTTTGCAGTCTGGCTCATTAACCCACAGCGCAACACCATATATATATATATACATATGGTGATAGTGGTTATGTGCCGTGGTGGAGTCAGTTTCGACTGACTCATAGCGACCCTGTCTGTATAGGGTTTACTAGGAGCAACTGGTGGGTTTGAACTGCTGAGTTTGCGATTCTTAGT